AAGAGAATGAAAATGAAGATGGAAGATGGAAAGTGCGAAGCATACGTGCATTTATATGAAGAGACAGAATATGAACAGCCACATTCTGCCTAATAAATGGAATTAAGTAGCCCAAAGTCTTGGGAAAAGAGGTGGAAATATCAAGAGAAAATGTGCAAAATTTTTAGCACAAAGCAGTTAAATGCTTGAAAGATTGGCGATTAAAAGACAAACGTCAAATAAATGCACAAGAAGTTTACATAGATGTTCATTAATGATGTATAAGGTTACAAAGGGAGAGTCAAATGCGAAATTACAAAAAGAAAAAGTTAAGGCATTATATGTCTTAATTACAATCCGCCCCATACCGAACGAATTCTCTCCCTAAGTTTCCCCCAGTCCTCGCTCTGTCGAGAGGAAGTGATGTTCAATTCGGCCACAACATCATTATCAACTTCCAACTTCTTGTACTGCTCGACCAAAGACTTAGTTCGCTCAATTCCTTGGGAGGCGTTACGCTTTTTAGCAGCCATTCTCGCCTTGCAGTCGTCCATTTTGGCTTGAAGTTCCTTCATCTGAGCAGCCAAACTAGCCATCAAAGAGTCTTCAATCATGACTTTGGAAGAGATTTCTTTCAACTCGTCCTCAGCTTTGTTGATCTCCAGAAGTAAAGACTCTTTTTCAGATACGGCGCGAAGATATTGAGTACTTTTGGCCTTCAGTTCAACATTCTTGGCCAGCAAGGAAAGGACCTCGGAATGGATAACTTTCAACATCGCTTTAAAATCAGCAGAAAGATTGAGCAACGGAAGTGTTAGCGCTTGCTCCAACTTTGCATTCAAATGCTCAAGTTTATCTTTATGTCTGGCAGCACTAGCCTTACCAATGTCCATATCTATGAAGGACACGCATTCAAATATCGACTGCTTGAGGAACTTCATATTTTCCTCTGAAGAAGTAGTAGGACGACCAGCTGGAGCAGGGCGAGATGTCTTGACTTGCCCCCAGGAAGCGAACAAGTCATAGATGGAACGCACAATCTTATCAGCATCCTGCAAAAAAAATTGCCAATAATGAAGATTCTCACTATAATGAACAAGATGAAAGTAAAAGTGAAGCAAAGATTACCTCATCAATAATCTTGGAAGATGGCATATCTCCAGCCAAGTCTGCCACCTGTGACTCCACTATTCTTGTGGACTTCCCCTTGTCTAAGTGAGAAGATGTTGCCACAGCGGGCAGACTCATAGGAGCATCTGTAGAACTCAAAAGCAACAAATCAGAAACCAACAGCACAAGCAAAGGTAAAGCATCAAGAGACTGAATTACCTTCTGCTTCGATGTTTAGGGGGTCGACGCCCTGGGAAGAAGGTGGCTCATCCATTGGTTGTGATGAGGATTCTGGGACTGAAGATGTCTCTTTAAGCGTAGTCCCTTCATCAACTGGTTTGGATAAAGCAGCCTCAGCGGAGGATGATGGAGCAGGAGCTGCCGACACTAAGGCCTTCAAAGGAGAGGCTGAACTTTTCTGAAAAGTCCAAATAAAACATCAGCACACAGAAAAGCTTCAAGTATGAAAAAGTATGCCTGTAAGTAAACCAATTTAATTACCTTCCTCCTGATGATAAGAGGGGTATCATCATCATCATCAACATCATCTTCCAGAATGGGAGATGTTGAGGCTGGCCGTTTGCGGCTCGGAGCACTTTTGGCTGCAGTAGGCTTGGCAGGGAGAGAAGAAGATGGACGAGCAGAATGTTTAGCGCGACGAGGAGGAGAAGGACTCCGGATGAACAAAGGGGTGACTAAAACAGGAGGAGGAGAAGAAATGCTTGGTTGATCCAGTGAATGAAAGGCACAATTGGCATCAGTCGCGAACAATCTGCGCTTCACTGATGGCCAGAGTTGTTCAAAAAGAGGGTGAATGACATGACTAGAATTGAAGGGGGCTAATGAAAAATGGCTCGTTAAAAGAAGATTGCGAGCATTTATAGCCTCTGCCTCCACTTTATTAATGATATGGAAGCGGTCTATCAAGTTCCTTGAATAGCAAGGAGGAACAGGCCAGGTTTGGCCGAAACCAAGTTGGCGAGCAAAAAATTGGGGAGCATATATTTCTACCCCAGCCTTGGCATTGGTCCCAGTCAAAATGTCATGAAATAACTCCCTCCCGGTTAAAAACTGGATCCAAATGAGCAGAGAGGTGCTCGCGCTGTCTATAGTGGAGAGAGGATGCACATAGTTTGGAGTCAAAAAGGCAGGAAAAGGAAAGAAGGAAGGAATTGAATCCAAAGAATAAAAGAATGAAAAAATGTCCCTTCTAGACATATTTACAGGAGCCAGGGGCTCAATGGCTAGCCCCTAGTAGCTAGCAGAAGAACGAGAAATTGATGGAGCACCAAGCGATGGAAAATAGGATCTCAACCACATTTGAGTGAACCAAAGAGGTCCACTGCCAGTGGGAGATGCACCATTTTTCAATTGAGATTGAAGAGAAGCCATGCCTCTATAGAGGGCAGCCAAAAAGAAAGAACATAAATTCAAAGGCCTACCACGCGCCAATTCGTGCGCTATGGGTAAATAGCTCAGGGAGGGTTTTATGCTTGGCACACACAAAACATATTTACAAAGCCAAACCAGAAGAAAGGCCACTCGCTCAGTATGGGAAGGCTCAGCGCTTGAATGGTTATGAAGGGTTTGCACGCTTGAATAAGACTCGGTGAGGTTTTTACCAAACTTTGGGGTGCCACCAGAAATCAAGATACCAGGAAAAATGGTATCGCCCAAAGGTGGCAGATTCACTATGGCCCCAACATCCCTTAAAGTAATAGACATGGGGCCAAGGGGGAAAACAAAGGTATTATACTCAAAAGACCAAAAACTTAAAGCGATCGAAAAAAGTGCTGAATCAAAAGCAGGGGTTGAAGAGAGATTTCTAACAAATCAGAAATCCTAGCATTATCAAAAAGTGCCTTAGTAGAACCATGGTCCACAAGGCGAGCATGCCACCTACGAAAAACTACGTCAGATTTAGGCCAAGTACGAATACCTCTTTCGCGAAGTGGCCCCAGCGGCAGAGAGTTTAGAAATGGAGGGCCTTGAGTACAAGGAAACAGCTGACCCACCGCCGCTTGTTCGACTGCCTCTGCATTGTTGAAGAAAGGACCTAAGTAGAACTCATTGAGTTCGACATTGGCAGGTGCGAGAAAATTTGGAGTTATGTATGGACGATTAAGAAGTTTCTGAAAGTCTTCAAAACTGAAGGAGTCGCCAGATTGAGATTGTGAAGTAGCCATTAGGGACGAAATGGAGTTTTTCAGAGTTACGTAACAGGGAAGCAAAGAGATGAACAGTAAAATTGTGAGAGAGAAGCGCGAAAAAAGTGAGGCGTGATTTAATGGTACAGTGAAATGACGTATTTGGGGGTTATAAGGGTTTGCAAAACGTCGCACCTTTTTAAGCTATGGAAGGAAATAATGATTGAAATTCTTGGAAATTTCGAATGTTGCTGGAAACATAAAGTGAATATGACAAAAATTAATAATTGGTATTAATTCTGCCTTATTGGGGGGTAATTGTTGATACATAAAAATTTAGCCAAAATTGAACAGCCTAAGGAATGAAGCCCAATTGGAGGATCCCCAAATCAGATAGCCCAAAGAACGACGCCCAATCAGACAATTCAGGATGAAGGCCCAAATAGGAAGGCCCACGAACGCGGTAACAACATCGCCCAAGCTTGGAAGTCGCCCAGGATCTGAGCGAATGGAGTGCCATGCAGTCGCCCAGAGCTGCTACTCTATTCTCGCACAAACCTTCGAGTCGCCCAAGGTCTTAGCAAACATGAAGTGTTATGGTTATCAAGAAGCGCAGTTATCAAAGCAGTTATTAAGCAGCCTTATCACGTTCCACGATTCAAGGAATTCAATTGAAGACGGTTGAACGACAAAGAGTAATGGAAGTAGTTAGAAAAGGCAGTTCCATGACAAGTTGGCCATTACGAGGAAAGTGGGCAGTTATAGAACGATCAAACAGTTTTTAGGTGGTTGATCACAAAGAGATCATCCAGGGAGTATAAAAGGAAGAAAAGACATAGAGCAAAAGACCCCGAATCAAACACTCTCAAACAGAGAATATGTAACTTTCAATTCCTTAGTTTAGATTTAAACACTTCTTTTACAATAACTCGTATGCTTGCGCCCCTTGGAGGCATTCTGTTTTTACTCCCCAATTGTAAAGTTATCGCCAATAAAAAATGCCCATTTTTGGGACTTTGTCTCAAGAGATTTGTTCCTTACACAATCGTCTGATCCCTTTTTAATTGTTAGCGACTAACCCGCGCGAAAATCTAGGTGGCTACGAATTACCACGTGGCAACGTGTTCTATCAATTTCTGTCAATTTTTGAGGAACTTTCTAATATGTCAAAAATTGTATTGACATGATGAAATCGCTCTCTTAGAAAAACATGAATTTTCTCCCAACAAGTAATGAATGTAGAGCATTTTTACAAAATTCAGTGATATTTCAGAAATATTATAAAGTTCAGTAAGGTCCACAAGACACGACCTAAAATTGATTATTTTTAGTATAGTTAACCCACGTCAATGAAATTATCAAAATTTTTAATCAGGACGACTTTATTTTTTTATTTTAAAAATCTACAACTATTTTGTTTAACCACTGACGACAATCTATACCCATGAATCGCCATTGATGAAGATGGAAAATTTAGCGAAGAATATAATTATGATATGCAGCGAGAGCTATAAACTCCATGTTCGAGCGATGGAGGATTATGGCAAATGATCAATGGAACATTAGCGGTGAATTATGCACCGGCATTGCAATTGATGACGGCGTCACCATCCAGAGCTTCAATCCGGGGATCAAATGTAACTGCTCTTACAATAATGCCACCACTTGCCACATTATTGCTCTGTAAGTAATATATTTTCTTGATGCTACGTTATTTTAGTATGCCGTATTGATTATTGGAAATTTGTATATGAAATTGGTTCTAAATGTAACTGCTCTTACAATAATGCCACCACTTGCCACATTATTGCTCTGTAAGTAATATATTTTCTTGATGCTACTTTATTTTAGTATGCCGTATTGATTGTTGGAAATTTGTATATGAAATTGGTTCTAACCAATTCCTAATTATTTAAGTGAAGTTGTTATTTAGTGATTGAAAAATTAAGTCAAATTTAAATCATTTATACATGTGAATTATTGGAAAATGACAAAATATTATGGAATATTCTAAAAATGATTTGACTGAAAAGATGTTTTTCTATACGAAAGATTGTAATTTTTGATATTCCATAATATTTTATGTCATTTTCCAATAATTCAAAAGATGTGTTTTTTCAAATATAGAGACTAATTTCAATAGTTGTGTCTCTTCCAAAGGGGGTGTCTTTTAAGACAAACCTTTTCAACATTTATATATAGACCACATGTATGAAAGTTTCATTAATTCACTTCATGATTGCGTTATCATTCTAATATATATTCACTTCAAAATTCTGCATTTGTTTGAAGTCTAATTTCATATAAAGAGGGTCAAAGCATAAGTAGTTTGTTGGTCTATGTAATCTGGAGTGCTTCTATTGCGAGATGTGGTCATTGTATCTTGGGAAACGTGTTGACCCCAAAAAATGTGGCCAACAGAATCCCGACCTCGTCCCTTCCACACCTACACATGGAGCACCCCGTTAGAGGCAAAGGCCGCCGGTTGAGAAAAAAGTCCAACGACCGTTTGTACTCCGATAGTCAAGTCAATGGCCGGACAAAAAGAAAATAAATGAGTGCAAGAGAAGGGAGAGGAGATTTGGTTTGAGTTTAGAATACATACATTAATTGTGAAGTGAAGCCACATTTATATAGATAAATGAAATGAAATGGGCCAAGCGGGTCATGGGCCAAAAGAAAGGCCCAATGTGAAATGATTAATATGTATAACAATAGTCCCCCAAGTCCAAATCGTATATTTATATGCGGGTCGGACTTGAAATATGAACTGTCAAATATGTGATTCCCGGTCAACTAATGTGGGACCCTCTCCATCATAAGTATGCCACGTAATTATGGACATAACAATAGTCCCCCAAGTCTGAGTCGTACATTCATGTGCGGGTCGAAGTTTGAAATATAAGCTGCTAAATATGTAAGGTCTTACTGATTGCCTCAAGAATGTAAGTCACTCCGATATGTGAGGACTTACAAACTGCTTCAGAAATTGTGTGCGAGTCAGAATGAGCGAGGACTTATGAATTACTTAAAAAGATAAATGCTCCTTATATTTTGTCAAAATTTCGTCAGCATCTCTCCTTTAATATGGACTAAACCAACCGTAATATAATACAATATATCCACAGCATATATACCAACAGGGGCGGAGTTAGGAATCAAAGTTAGGGGGGGGGGCAAAAAAATTCTAAAAATCTAATGTACGAATAAAATTTTTGGTCATTTTTATTTCTGATTTTAGCGAAACAATTGAAAATAGTGATACAGGTACGAGAGAATATAACATTCATATGAAGAATAACAAAAAATTCTTCAAATACACAATTTTTACGTAGAAGTGTTAAACGATCGTGCAAGTGCTTCCTTTTTCCTATTAATTTGGGACAAAAAATTTCAAATCCTGCCAATTCAAATTCGGCTCTTAGGTTCTAAATTAAAACTTCTAATTAGTTGGATAGTAGATGTGGTGAGGGAGAGGGAGAGGGGTTTTAAGATTTGAAGAATTAGAAATGTTTCCTTTGGACAAACATGGGCGGAACGCCATTTGCAGGAAGAGTCGATGGCGGTGAGGGAGAGCAGGGGCGGACAGGAAAAGCCGAAGATTTACTTTGGGCGACGGGCTACCGTAGATGAATTGACAGGAAAGAGAAAATAAGGCGTGATTTGATTTGATGAAGGATATTAAAATTGGGCGAAAAATTAAAACCAAAAATTGGTTTTAAGAATTGGGTTGGGCTCGCCAAGTGATATTTGTTGGTGGGCTATACACTAAAATTAAAAAAAAAAATCATCAATTTGTACCATATTTATTGGACTTGGACTTGAAAGGCAATGGGCTACAGCCAAGTGTAGCCCACTGCCAAATCTGACCCTATATACCAAATAAATTTGGGGCCCATTTACCCCTTCTAATACTTGTAAGTATAAAGTGAATAATGTGATGACATTTCTCCAAAATATAATATGCAGAATGCCTATCATGTATCATAACAATTGATATGCTAGCACTGTTCAATGTATCAGTAGTGCTATAGAGAAACAAGTAACATGATGTCGATAATAAAATGAAAATGATGATAAAATGGCATACGTACTGGCTGTAGTGAAAATAATGAATGACATGCTAGCAGTTATATAACATTTGTGCTTGGAAGCAATAATATAATGCACAAGCTAGCAGTGATATGTCGTGATACAAAGATATAGTCTCACAATAGTCCTCCCAAGTTTGAGTTGAATATTTATATACGGATTGGACTTGAAATATACGTCACTGTGATAAAGTGATGTAGAGGCGATGATCTTGATGCAGAGGTAATGCTCTGATTGCAAAGGCGATGCTCTGGGCACAGTAGCTGAGGCGATGCTCTGGATTGAATATAAGTAGCTGTACTGATACTAATGCAGAGGCTGACTCTAGACTGAATATAAGTAACTGTATTTATACTGATGTAGAGGCCGACTCTAAGCTGAACAGTTGTACTAATACAGATGCAAAGGCTGACTCTGAATTGAACAGTTATATTGATAACGATGCAGAAGCTGACTCTAAACTGGACAGCTGTACTAATACGGATGCAGAGGTTGATTCTGAACTGAACAGTTGTACTAATACGGATGCAGAGGCTAACTATGAACTGAACACCTGTACTGATGACGATGCAGAGGCTGACTTTGAACTAAACAGCTGTACTAATATGGATGCAGAGGCTAAATATGAGTAGAACACTTGTACTGATAAAGATGCAAAAGCTGACTCTGAACTGAACGGCTGTACTAATACGGATGAAGAAGCTGAATCTGAATTGAACAGATGTACTAATAATGATGCAAAGGCTAACGGGTCGACGCTTAGATGCTTGCGCGAGGGCAAGGTTTAGGTGCCTGCTCTTGACAGGGCTTTGGTGCTTGCATAGGGGTAAGGCTTAGGTGCTTGCTTTTAACAGGGCTTTGGTTCTTGCGCGGGGGCAAGGCTTAGGTGCCTGCTTTTGACAGGGCTTTGGTGCTTACATAGCGGCAAGGCTTAAGGCTTAGGTGCCTACTCTTGACAGGGCTTTGGTGCTTACGTGAGGTAAAACTTAGGTGCCTGCTCTTAACAGGGCTTTGGTGCTTGCACAGGGGCAAGGCTTAGATGCTTGCGCTAGGGCAAGGCTTAGATGCCTGCTTTTGAAAGGGCTTTGGTGCTTACGCGGGGGCAAGGCTTGGACAGAAGCAAAACTCTGAAAGATAGGTAGTTGTAATGTGGAGGCATGATGAGCCTTCTGAAGATAAGCGGGGCTATAATGTAGTAACTCGCACAACAAGGCATCTCATGAAGTGGTGAACAAGCTCATCTCAAACTATCGAAGACTTATAAGTCTCAAATAGACGAGGTCTTATAGCTAGACTCGTGATATTGAAAGGTGAGGGATAATCATCTCACGAAATCAGAAATAAGCATCTGACAAGGTGGGGAATGGACATCTCGCCAATAACTCTCAAACTATCGGAGCCTTATAAGCGGCCTCGGAGAAACGAGATCTTATAGCTAAGCTCAACGATATTGAGAGGTGAGTGTTCTAAAATGCACGCATATACTTCGCATATGCACGCATATTCTTGATGCTTTTTCGAAACGCATCGCATATGGGGTATGCGCGAGATAATGAAGTCAACTCATTTCGTTGACCGCATATGCACCCATATTTTCCAAAATGCCCACGCATTTATATTTAAAAAAATATGTTTTAATTAGCATAACAAAGTTCATCCCATTTTTATAACTTAAAAAATTAAATTGAGTCCAACCAACATCCAATTAGCCCACATCACTTTAGTCCATCAATAATATACAATAATCTCTAATGTTTTGCTTTTGCATAAATCTTCATCTGGGCATTAACATAAAAATAGTTCTTGATTTGACCATTAGTTCATCCGATTGTGAGAGATATTGGAGTGTCTTTGAAGGAGTAAGTACTAATTAAATAATTACGCTGATGCATTTTAGTTATTACTTTAGTAGTTATTTGATAATTTAAATTAGCATACTAAAAAATTTCAACTTCCTTTTATAGTTACACACCAAGAAGAGAAACCGCATAGATGCCACAAGGATGAAAATTCTAGTTTACATCTAATTTAATGCATGGTTGATGAAGAAAATGAAGAGGAATGATAAATTAGAAACTTCATTAACAAGTGATGCTATTAATACACTATTTTGGATTGTTGATGGTTGTGATGATGAGGAGTAAGTTGACAATAATATGTTATCATTTACAAGAGATAATAGAAATTCTCGATTTGAAATAAGGAGGACGATGAAGATGATTTTGTATCGGATAACACGAAAAATGAATTGGATGAAAAAGAAGATATTGAATTGGAATCTAATAAAGAGTTAGACAAGATTTAGAATTTTTTAAGTCAATATTATTGTTTGATTTAATTGTAGGAATTGATTAACAAATAACTGTATTTTGATTTTGAACAATATGTTTTTGTTGAAATTTTGAAAAATATATATAAATTTAAAGTTATTGTCTTATTGTAGTAGTTATAATTTCGATTTTTATTTTTGAAAATTCGAAAAATATGTAAGAATGCATTATTTTATTTATTTATTAGTTTAAAATGTTAAAAATTGGAAAACGCATAATTACGTATATGCTAAGAAGCACCGACACGGACATGAGTGTTCGACATGATACGTGTCGTACATGTCGATACGCAATTTTGTGAAAAAGTTCCGACACGATACGTCGTTGACACGTTGATTACAATATTTTTTAAATTTATTTTAATTTTATAGTAATAATTTTTTATACTTATTGTATCATATATATCATTATAAATAGAAATTTAAAGGGATTTTCAGAATTTTTCTTGCAATTTTCGTAGCATATCTTGAAGAAGATTGCTTATTTAAGCTGATTTTTTTGTTGAAAGGTAAAATGGTACAAACTTAATTCAAATAATTTTTTTCTATTATTTTATTGAAGTTTACAGCTCGTGTGGATTAAAAAAAATGTACAAAGCATTCACCAAATGAGAAAGTTAGCAGGTGGTGGGGCCTTACAATTTAAAATATGCATCGATAAAAGGAAGACTCTTCATTTCCTTTTCCATTCCCATGACTTTTCAGCCTTATCCAGCCAAGTTTTCTTCCTTTTCTTCTCTCTCTTTTTTCTTTCATTTCCCAGGAAACTTTCGTCGGCAGCAACTTTTCAGCCCAACATCTCTTCCCTTTCTCCTCTCTCATTTTTCTTTCCTTTCCCAGATGGCTGCTTCCCAAGACACTTTCTCCTTCGCCCGTTGAATTTCTTTCTAGGTAAACTGTTAATTTCTTCTTCATTTCTTCTTCCACATTTTCTGGTTGCATTTCTTAGAGTCAACTGCCTTTTCTCTCCTCCGACACGCTGCAAGCAACTCCGACATGTGTCGGACACAGTTACATTATTGCCGATAATGTGTTCATGCTTCTGAGCGTATATGCTTCGCATGAGCACGCATATTCTTATAATGCTTGATGCTCGACCAAAACACATTGCTACGCATTACGCATTTTAGAACCTTGAAACATCTCGCGAAGCCAGGTATTGTTGTGACTCGAACCGTGTATTGGTGCTTCCATATTTTCATCTAATAAAACGGGTTGTGAAAACACGCTTTTGTAAGTGGCATTCTGCCAGATGCTGACACGTGGCTCTACTCTTACCGTAAGATGGAGGGTTTCATATTGGTGATATAAATATGAACTTAACTCTTCGTTTGGCTGGACTGTTCATTTTTGGTGACTTTTCGAGTGAGGCTTCGAGAGAGTTCTTCTGTGTTCTCTCATCTGAGGGTTTTCTGCTTCCCTATTTTTGTAATCGATCGTCTCATTCGATTAGGATTGAAGGTTTTAACCACTGAATACGTGTATATTCTTGAGTGATACTTAGAGTCCTCATGTGTTGAGGTTAGGGTTTGTGGTCTGTTGATTCGAAAAGGATCTGAAGCAGATTTGTGATTCCTGTTTAAGAGATAAGTCTCTTTTCTGTGTATTCTACTGGTTGATGAATTTTGTAACCTTCGATTGCCTATTTTTGGGGTTTTAGTGTAATCGAGCAATATCCACTTTGATTGGATGCTCAACAGGGGATTAGGTGTTTGACACTGAACCTCTGGGGTTTCGGCCAAAAAATCTTGTTGTGTTCTTTATTTTTGCAAGTTTAATTTCCGTTTTTTAGATCGATTGAATCTTGCAACTTATTGTGTGGGTTTTTTTTGGCCCCTTTCAGGTATAAACATCTGGCGAAGCGAGGAATGGACATCCCGCGAATCACTCTCAAACTATCGGAGTCTTATAAGCAGTCTCGAACAAATGAGGTCTTACAGTTAAGCTCAACGATAGTGAGAGACGAGGAATAAACATCTTGCGAAGCCAGGTGGCGAAGTGGGAAATGGACATCTTGCGAATCACTCTCAAACTATCGGAGTCTTATAAGCGGCATCGAATAAACGAGCTTTTACAACTAAGCTCAACGATAGTGAGATCAAGGAATAAACATCTTGCGAAATCAGGTGTAAACATCTGGCGAAGCGGGGAATGTACATCCCCCGAATCACTCTCAAACTATCGGAGTCTTATAAGCGGCCTCGAACAAACGAGGTCTTACAGCTAAGCTCAACAATAGTGAGATGCGAGGAATAAACATCTCGCGAAATCAGGTATAAACATCAGGTGAAACGAGGAATGGACATCCCGTGAATCACTCTCAAACTATCGGAGTCTTATAAGCGACCTCGAACAAACGAGATCTTATAGCTAAGCTCAACGATAATTAGAGGCGAGGAATAAACATCTCACGAAGCTAGATCTAGCGAAGTGGGGAATGGACATCCCGCGAATCACTCTCAAACTATCGGAGTCATATAAGCGGCTTTGGACAAACGAGGTCTTACAGCTAAACTCAACGATAGTGAGATGCGAGAAATAAACATCTCGCGAAGCCAGGTATAAACATCTGGCAAAGCGAGGAATGGACATCCCACGAATCACTCTCAAACTATTGGAGTCTTATAAGCGGCCTCGGACAAACGAGGTCTTACAGCTAAGCTCAACGATAGTGAGATGAAAGGAAAAACAATCTTGCGAAGCCAAGTATAAACATCTGACGAAATGGGGAATGGACATCCCACGAATCACTCTCAAACTATCGGAGTTTTGTAAGCGGCCTCAAACAAACGAGGTCTTATAGCTAAGCTCAACAATAGTGAGAGGCGAGGAAAAACCATCTCGCGAAACCAGGAAATGCCCTTTTTTTCAAGGGCAAACACATCTGACCATCAGCTTCTTCCTTTATTCAAAGAACGAGGTCTCCAAAACATTGCATATGATAAGAAGAAAATAATAGATCTGAATATTCACATCAATGGGCTCCCAAGCATGTCTATCAAATCATATCCAGTTTAATTAGCGCCCAATAACCATGAAACTCCATTAATTCCCAGTTTGTCGAGTTAAGATTTGTTATTTAATTACCAAACAAATCATACGAAAATGAGGTAGTTAGAATTTGACTATCAGATAATAATTTTCACATGAGTGGAAATTTTCAAATGAGCCTGTAATAAAAACCTCAAGTTTCCTGCCATGCTCTACCCTTGAAGAAATATTAACAATGGAAGAAAATCATCTCTCACATATTTTGTCACCTTTTTCTGAACGAGATAGACCAAGCTGAACAAGTAGAAATGGTGGCCTGATGATCAAAGACTTGGAATATTCTTTTTCTACTAGCTTATTTCTAATTCTCCAAGTCAAATATTTCTGTTCTTTTTCCATGTGATTTAGAATAAACGGCAGGCCAAAATGGAAGCAAGAGAGGACACCCAGCCAATAAAATTTATACAAGAACGAAGCTGAAGTAGTGTGACCATAGCTCCCAGCCGTAGTGTATGTCTCTTGGGTAAACTAGAAAGACCCAATGGCTAACAAATTATGGCCCAAAAGAAATAAGTCTCAATGCCCAATTGTTCATAATAAATGGCAGCCCAATCTCTTTGACAAAAAGGAAGTGTCATGAGGCCCAAGTAAAATAAATCCTTGGGCCCAAGAAGGCAAAATAACGGCCCATTAAAGAAATTAAAGAACATAACTAGAGCTTTATAAAGGAAAGTGGGCCTCTTTCCTAAGGGAAGTAAAATTAATTGGCCCAATTATTATTTATGTAGGAATGGGAATAAAATTTAGGTGGCCCAATAATTATCCATTCAAGTTCAAAAAAACATGGGAAATAAATTCACAGGCCCAATTATACATACCCGTTTAGTGGATCTCCATAAGAGGTCTCCAAGCCCTTTTTTTTTTTGTAAACTCGTTGAACCAAATTTTGAAAAAATAAAGCCCCATCACTTTATGGGACAACCCGGCCCAACAAGATGGCATTAAATGGCACGTGATCCAGCTAAAGTCTGGAGAAGATTTGAGTCTGCAGAACAGCTGGAAGAAAGACAAGATTGCCTGTCGGAGGTTGGTACATGTTGATTGGGCTGCCTCTCTATTCTTAGCTGGCCCAATCTTAGTAATATTGAGCCTTGCCAGGTTGGTTGATTCCACGGGTTGAAATTGGTTTGGAAATTAAAAGCGTTTCTTGGAAACGCGTTTTTCCTTTATAATGGGCAACTGTTGTGGACCTTACACTTGGCATCCTTGTGATCGTTGGATCCTTGATTTTTACTGGACTGTTAAAAGTCTTCTGACCTTTCACTTTCGCCCTAATCTGAGTGAACGGTTCTAGGGTTTTCTTCGTCCTCTCTGAGGGTCTTTGGACTCTTCTGTTCTTGCAATTTTCTGAAAGCAATATCTAATTTGAGTGATGTTAGGGTTGTATTTGGTATATGATATGTGAGATTGTAGAAAACGGAGTGTTGTGTTAAAGAGAGGCGAAAGAAAACTGAAATTGAAGGAACTGTTGTTTCTTCATACATTCTTGTATCGATTCTTTGTGATTCTTAGTGGATTTGAGCCTAATTTACTTTTGTAGATGCTCAAGGGTGAGTAGGCCTTTTGGCTGGACATTCGTCCCCTTAGGGGCGAAAAATTCTTGTGTTCTTTACGATTCTGTAATTCTTTATTGTGTGCTACAATCGTTTTTAAGTGAAATAATAATTCTGAGACCAACAAGTGGTATCAGAGCAGTTTACGAAGGGTTAGGGTTTTTTCTTTGAATTTTCTTTTTAAATTTTTTTTAAAAACCCTAGATCTTAGATTTTTTGGTTAAATCTTAAATCGAGTACACTTTGTAAAAATCTCTTACAAGATTTACCTTCGGTTCAATTTTTGTTGGATCTTTTTCAACTACGAACTTTGTGATACTTCTTTGTGATATTATTTATGATGATTATTGTATTTTTCTTATTTTTTTGAGGCTTCTGAATCTTTGAGTGATGTTTCATAAAGATTCATACTGAGTAATAGTGAGTCTACTCGACTCATTCCGATTCCTGCTGATTTCTTGTTGATCGGTATTAAATGGCACGCTGCAAGTGCACAGGTCGCGATCAAGTAGTATAATGGACCTTTTAAGTCCCAGTCGATCCCTCAGAGAGTGTTGTTTTCAATTACGAGTGTATTTTTTTCAAATTAATGAAAAAGATGCACACATTTAAAAGTTCGATTTTTAAAAACTATAAAAAGGTGAAAACTCGATTTTGATTTAAAATATTTAAATAATATTTAAAAAGTGGAAAAGTTTGATTTTAAAAGATGTTGGAATTTATGATTTCGCTTAACCCTTTTCAAGCCAATTATGCGTCGATGCAAATTACCAAAATATGTGGTTAGACCCGATTTTTCAAAATTAGTCAATAACCTTTGTTGAGAGATATCAACCCTAATTGCTTGGCATTAACATATTTCTATGTCGTTCTAAACCAAACAACTGCATTTAATTTTTGTGAAAATAACTCAACGGGTCACATAGGGTAAGTATACGTGTCTGGATAGCGTATAGTCGAAACCATACAAACCTATGGTATTAATTATTTCGGTCTATTATGTGTAACTATTTTTCAATAATTATACAACTACCTAACCACAATATCTATTGACGTCAAATAAATGTAGTAATCTTAAACATGATAATTAATACACCAATATTTTGATAACAAATGCATATCTAACAACATATAACACGATATTAATGAAAATAGGTTAAGCTAATACATAAATTCCAACATAAACTTGTTTAGTTCATCATTCTAACAAAATAACAAAAAGATTCTTATAAACATATCATTACAAACATGAAGAACTAAATGAAAGGAATACAAAAGTTGAGATAAAACACTTTTAAATACGAATTGTAATTCCTTCAATGTATTCTTCAAGCTTTCCTTAATGATCTCCTTGCTATATCCACTTGATTCCCAAAATAAAACTAAAATTAACAAAAGAAAATAAAACTAAAAGAAAAAAAATCAAGAAAAAGAGAGAGAGAGATAGAGAGAAAAGTGAAAGAGTTGGGAAAATTTTTTACCTACCAAATTATATTAGTATAAATATGGAATATGTATAAAATATAATATAAAAAAAAAGATATTATTAGACATAACATAAATATCCTAAAAATATCTAGCATAAAATAAGGATAAAATAATAAAAAGGTTGACAAAAAAATCTCGAAATTGCAGATTAGGTCCTTCAACTTTCATTTAGTGCAGTTTGGTCCTCGAAATTTGACTTTTATTACATTTAGGCCCTTCCATAATTGCACTTCAAGTCCTTAGCTTCACAATTTTGTTCAATTTAAGTACTTTTCCTTCTCTTTTCGCTTGTTACACTTCTTTCCGGGGTTTTAGCCTACAAAAGTAACAATTATACAATTATAAATAGAAATATACTCAATTTTATCAATAATAAAGTCCCAAAAAGTGCTAAAAGTGTGTAAAAACACACTTATCACTTGTGACTCACTATTGAGTCATGCTGAGTTGCTGTGACTCGTTGGCTTCTTGTGTGATACCTTGGATTGTGCAACCAGTTCTAAAATTCTTTTAATTACCTCCTTCATTCTGTAATACTATGTTTTTTCAATCTTTGGTATAAGTTTCTTACTTTCTTAATTTCTCAATTAACTGTTTAGATAATATACTATACGAGTTGGTCATTGAGGTAATTGGTCTTCTGCTACCTTTCTTTGTCCAAGATCTCCTGGGAATCTGAGGGGGTAGTGGGTTGAATAGGTCATCACTCCTTAGACCCTCTTTCTAGTTGGTATCATTATCTTTACATACTCCTGTTGAATATCTGCACATTTTAATATAAGATTCCCATATTGAAATCTTTATTGTTTACTCTCACTGTCTGTACATACTATATCCTGTGTGATATATATAAATATATAAACTTGAATCTGTGAATTTATCTGTGATTATGACTACTGCACAAAAATTTGAAGTAGAAATTTGGAGAGGGATTGGAGATTTTAGTTTGTGGCGCCAGAAAATAAGGGATCTGTTATTACAACAGAGGTGTGCTGGGGCCATTAATGGGGTATGGCCTGCTGAGATGAGTGCATATAGGAGACAGGAGTTAGATGAGATTGCTTGGAGTTCAGGGGTTGTTTGGGCCCGATTTTTTCATCCAAAAAATTGATTTTTTGACCGTTATTTTACTATTTCAGCCGTCATATTTGACTTCTTCTCTCACGGGTGGACCCCACTTTTCTTCTAACGGTCAAAAAATCAATTTTCAAAATCACTCCCAAACAGCCTCTCAATTTTCTTACATCTGTCGAATAGTGTAGTAAGAAATGTTGGGGAAAAAACTACTACTCAAGCCTTATGACCAAACTTGAATCCCTCTACTTGACTAAATCTATGCCCAACAAATGTAGTCTTCTTAGGCAATTGCATAATTTTAGATTTGATCCCTCCTTAAGTCTAGAAGATAATTTTGATAAATTCACTAGATTGATTCAAGAATTGACTGGCTGTGAAGAGGAATTATCTGAAGATCAACAAGTTGTTGCTCTGTTAAATGCACTAGGTGATAAATACAGAGAACTGAGAAATGCTTTAGAGTATGGGAGAACTGACCTTACTGCCTAAGAAATAAAGAACTTGAACTTAAAACAGAATCCAAAGATTTTAAGTACTTAAAACAGAATCCAAAGATTTTAAGTTTGGGGAAGGTTTGAATGTAAGAGAGAAAGTAAATCAGGACGAACAGAATAATCAATGTAACTTTAATTCACACAAGAAGGGAAAGCCTCAATTTCCTAAATTCAGAAATCAAAACAGAAATCAATCAAAACCTAAGTTGCCAGCCAGAAAATGTTATTACTGTGGTAAAACAGGACATCTCATAAAGGACTGTTTTAAGAAAATATCTGACATGAAAGGTAAACCAAATATAGATGGGTCTGCAGCTGTTGTCTACAATAATGAACCTGATATACAGGGAGTTGTTTTTGTTACCACAACCAAAAGAAACCAAAATGAATGGATTCTTGACTCTGGGTGTTCATTCCACATGTGTCCCATTAAAGAGTGGTTCACTGATTATACTAACCTGAATAGTGGGGGTCAAGTTCAGATGGGGAATAATATGACCTGTCAAATAAGAGGTATTGGAAACCTTAAGTTGTTAATGGAAAACAACAATATTCTTGAATTGTCTCGAATCAGATATGTGCATGATCTTCAAAGAAACTTGATTTCTTTGGGGCAATTGGATGATGAATATGAAATTAGGATTCATAAAGGACAAACTGTAATTAGTTTTAACTGTATAGAGATAATCTCTTCTCCTAAATCTAATGTAATCTTTACATTGCAAGCTAAATCATTAGTTGGAAATAGCTCTGCAGTTGTAAAATCACATGACAATAAATCACATGACAATAAGACCCTGATTTGGCACAGGAGACTTGGCCATATTAATGAAAAAGGATTAACAATTTTAAACAAATTAAAATATTTTTGGAAAGGGCAATATTGAAAATTTAGAATTTTGTGAAGATTGTGTTATTGGAAAACAAAATAAACTACCTTTTAAAACTAGAATTCACAAATCAAATTCTATACTAGAGTATTTACATGCTGACCTATGGGGTCCAGCATCTATAAATACTTTAAGTGGGTTCAGATTTTATTTGCTAATTGTAGATGATTTTTCAAGAAAAATTTGGACTTTTTTTTAAAAACATAAATCAGACACTTTCCAAAATTTTAAACAATGGAAACTGATGATTGAAAATCAAACAAACAAAAAGGTAAAAGCACTTAGAACAGATAATGGTCTTGAATTTTGTAATTTTGAATTTGATCTTCTTTGTAAAGAATCTGGAATCTTGGGGCACAGAACAGTAACACACACTCCTCAGCAAAATGGTATTGCAGAAAGGATGAATAGAACCTTATTGGAAAAGGTTAAGTATATGTTGCTCAGTTTTGGTCTTCCAATGATCTTTTGGGGAGAGGCCCTGAAAACTGCCACTTATCTGATAAATAGAATACCTTCAAGTGCGATTGATTTTCAAATCCTTGAACACTTATGGTCTAGAAATTCTCCAGATTACCTTAAATTAAGGGTCTTTGGCTGTGCAGCTTGCTCTAATCAAAATGTAGGCAAACTTGAACCTAGATCTCAAAAATGTATTTTTCTAGGCTATGGTGAAGAAACAAAGGGTTATAGATTATGGGAGAGAGAAAAAGGTGGGTTCAGGGTCGTCATCAGTAGAAATGTGATTTTTGATGAAAGTAAATTCCCTTGTAAGATCCCTTCAACACGAAATACAGATTTGACCTTTCATGTTAAAGAAACTGTCCTGGATAGTCTAGAAGATAATTCTAATGAACCTGATAATTTGATTGAGGTGGAGTCTATTCAATCTGATATAGATCAACCTCAAAATGAATCTTATCTTGAAAATCAATCTCAGAATACTGCCCTTGAAAATTATCAGTTGATCAGAGACAGAACTAAAAGAAATAGGTTCCCTTCTACAAGAATTAATGCAGATGAACTTGTAACATTTTACACTGAACTTGAATTTGTTAATTCTGAACCAACAACCTTTGAAGAAGCTAAAAATTGTAAGGAATCCAAACTTTGGCTGAAAGCCATGCAAGAAGAAATGGACTCTAACTAAAAATAATACATGGATCCTTGTCAATAGGCCTAAAAATCAGAAGACTGTTGATTGCAAATGAGTTTATAAAATTAAAGAAGGTGAACCTAATTTTGGGGGCATTAGATATAAAGTCAGACTTGTGGCAAAAGGTTTTACACAAAGAGAGGGTATTGACTATAATGAAATTTTTGCACATGTTGCTAAATACACCTCTATTAGAATCTTACTTGCCTGCCATGATAAATCTGAAATTATTTCTGTTAAAGAAAAACTTAAATCTGAATTTGAAATGAAAGATTTAGGACAAACAAAGAGAATTTTAGACATGGAAATCAATAGAGATAGAAAGAATTGTGTTCTGTATGTAAATCAAAATTCTTATGTGAATAAGATACTTGAGAAGTTTGCTATGACTGAGTGTAAACCTGTAACTTTACCCATTTCAAATCACTTCAAACTTTCTAGTGAACGGTCACCTAAAACTGATGAAGAATATGATAGAATGAGTAAAATACCTTATGCAAATGTTGTTGGTTCTATTACGTACCTTATGATATGTACAAGATCTGAGTTAGCTCATGGTATAAGCTTGCTTAGTAGATTTATGGCCAATCCAGGTGAAACACATTGGTTAGCAATCAAATGGATGTTAAGATATCTAAAGGGCTCAATTGAACTAGGATTAAAATTCCAAAGGTGTAATGAAGGCATTATCCTGAAAGGATATACAGTTTCTGACTTTGCAGGAGATTTAGATAAAAGAAGATCAACCTCTTCCTATGTGTTTACCATTTGTGATGGTTGTGTTAGTTGGAAGTCCCAACTACAAAAACTTGTAGCTCTATCTTCCACTGAAGCTGAGTATATTACAGCATGTGATGCTGTTAAAGAAGGCTTGTGGTAAATTGGTTTCATGAATGAAACGGTTAGAATCTGTACTGATAACCAAAGTGCAATTCATTTGAGTAAAAATCCTGTATATCATGATAGAACTAAGCATGTTGATATTAAATTTCATTTTGTTAGAAATATGGTTGAAAAGGGATTAATTAACTTGGTTAAAATCCCAACCGAATTTAATTATTCTGATATTGGTACTAAGGTTTTACCTCTAAACAAGTTCAGAAATTGTCTAAAAATTCTGAACATACTTTGAAGGTAATAAATTCAATTTGATATTTGAATTTTACTTGTTATTTTTGAAAATCAACTGACTATTTTTCATTTTCTTTTTTACAAGTTTTATAGAGCAAATGAAACAAAAATTAGACCAAGTTTGAATTCACAAAAGTTTGAATTCACAAAAGAATACAAAGAATAGATCAGCAAGGT